CTTTTGGTTAATTTTGTTTAACATTTTTTCCTTTTATGTATTTTTATTTTGTGTGCATTTGTGATTTGCCTGCATTTATGCCTTCATGAATTATAGAATCCCTGGATCTGAAGTTACAGACAGTTTTGAGCTGCCATGTGATTGCTGGTAATTGAATCTGGATCCCCTAGAAGAGCAAACAGTGCTCTTAACCACTGAGCCATCTCTCCAGCCCCTGAATTTTTTTTATCAATCTAGTAAATCTTTTCAAAGTAATAACTCTTCATTGATTCTCTGCATTTTTGTTTGTTTGTTTTTACATTGCAAATTTATTTCAGGCTTGATTTTTTTATTTCTTCCTGTTTACTTTTTGTTGTTTGGTTTTTGAGAACATAATTATCCAGGAATTTATTGTGTAGACCAGGCTGAACTCAAACTCATAGATAAATACCTGTCTCTGACACCCAAGTGCTAGAATTAAAAGCATGCACCACCACACTCAGCCTTTTCCTATCTGCTTTTTATGGTATTATTTGTTCATTTTTTGAATATTTTAGGTGCATCATTAAGTTATTAATTTTAGATCTCTAAAATTTTTGATATACACTAGCTCTTATGATGCTGGAATGTGCTGTGTGGGCTACCAGAAGAGAAAAGTAATGATCAATATCACCCAGCTATAAACTCTGTAAGTTACAGCAACAATTTTCCTGGCAAGACATATCATCTGGTGCCACAATAAGCATGAACATCACTGAAGTTGCAAACAACATTCTGTTTTGGTTTAAGATCTGTTTCATGAGATAAATCCCATACTTAGCACCATTATCAGGTCAAGGCCCTGTGCCTAGACATATCATCAACCTTAGGGGAGAATCTTTTATCACTCTGATAAATGGGCAAAGTATTTATCAACTCCAAATAAATTATCATGATGTCTATTGATTAATGTATCTCTCAACCCATATCAGAGAAACTCATATTTGCAGTAGATGATGATTAACACAGAGACCCACAGCTACTGAAGGCACAGAGCAAAAAGAGACTATGGTATGCTCAGCCATAAATAGGAGATCTATATCTCAATGCTTCTTCCTAAGGCTTAGGGATCATTATGGAAGAGAGGGCATAAAAAGACAGAGGTGAGCCGGGCGTTGGTGGCGCACGCCTTTAATCCCAGCACTCGGGAGGCAGAGCCAGGCGGATCTCTGTGAGTTCGAGGCCAG